CCAGCTTCCCAAAGGTTTTCTCTCTCCTGGCAGCACAGACAGGGTCCCTGAGGCAGGGACCCTAGCCCTCATTCCATCCCCGAGCTGTAACCCTTGACTGACTGCTCAAAAACTTGGATTTCTGAAGTCATCTTCAACACAGTAGCTTCACCTCAAGACCGCACAACACTTGTGAAAAGCTGACAAGTTGCAGCTGACACGATCAGGAAATCCCAAAAGATGCAACACTCCTACGAAAAAGAAAAAAAGTGGGGGAAAAAAAAAAAAAAAGAGCAAATTACAAAAGCATCTTATCATCCCTGAACACAAGACACAAAAGGAATAACTTCAAAAACCATGCATTCAAGTGCAATCCTCTTCACGGCCACATACAGGTCTGCTTCTTTAGATGCCAAAGCTGGTGGTTTAATAATGCTGAAATAATTTGAGAGGCTCCATTAATTGAAAGAAAGGAAGAACTCTTAATCCTTTGAAGCCTGGCTGGTGAATGAGCTCCTTGCCCGAAGGCTGGGGCTAATATACCCCTAGCCACGCCTACCTCCCTTCCCCTGAGGAACGGGGAAAAGGGAGGATCCAAATACCAGGAGGTATAAAGGCTCTGGGAGAAGCAGCACCCAGTTTGCCTCTCTGAGTTAAATTCAGGATGGCTAAAGGGCTTGAGGCAGATAAAGCTCTTTCTGTCTTTAGAGTGTCCAAGGTGGCCCACCACCTGCACTGGAGATCCTGAGGTCTTAAGCTTTCTTTCCTGGGGGAGACAGCTGTTGTTCTTTTGCTCAGGTAGGCCCATCAACTGTATCTGACACACAAAAGCTTTCTTTCCTGGGGTTGGAGAGCAGCGTCCAGGAAAGGCCCTCTAAATACCTCTGAAAGCATCCGCTGAGTTTTCAGATGTGCCATTTAGTTTTTCTCTCGTTCACCCAGATACTCCATGCGATTATGGCTGCAGTCTCAGGTTGCAGCCAGTTACCCTGGATGGTTTGCCTAAAAAAATGTGAGACTCTTTCAGTTCTCCCTGTGTGTCCGGGTGACTTTGGTAAATCATTTCTTTACGGTGTCAGAGGGATAGGATGTAAAGCAGATTTGAACATAAAAGGCCAGAGGAGCACAGCGAGAAGGTGGGTCATCACCTGATGTCAGCATGAAGATGTGACTTTTGGGTCCATGTTTACTTGATGGTTTAGGGATTGATTTTTTTTGTTTTGGTTTGGTTTTTCTTTTTTTTATGAGGCAGAGCCCTTGGCCCAGGAGGCTATAGGGACCAGAGGGGAGGTGAGCCAGGTGAGTACTGGTGAGCATTGACTCCGGGACAGAATTAGATGCTCTTTTACAGGTGTTGTGGTTTTGGTAAATCTGGGCACAGATGGAGCCTGAATTTGGCTTTTTTGAATTTTTTCAATGCAGTTTGCTTTTTAACTCTTTCTGTGCTCTGTATGTGCTTTTTTCACTTATTTTTGTGGGATTTTTTGCAGTCTTTTCTCCTATAGGTGTTTGGTATTGTTTAGGGGGTGGCAGTGTTAAAACTTTTGGTCAGTAAGTTGCATAATTAAATGACAAATTGCATAATTACACATTATTAATTATTATTTAGCTCTCCAGATGGGAGTAAGAGGGGTGGAGAATAATAGTCATAATATGACTGGCTTTACTCCCATCTGGAGCACTAATTATGGGCTATATGCAGTATAAATAAAAAAGAAAATGGCTCACTCTCTGGGAGTAATTTTTAATTTTTTTTTTAATTAAAAAAGTCTGAATAGAAACAGCTTCTGTTTCAGACTGAAGCAGCCACTTCACTGAAGCTAAAATGCCCCCCTCCCCGTGTGATTCGAATGGCGCGCAGGGACAGCGACGTCCAGCGATAATCAGCAAAGCGTCATTCCGCGGTGGTCTCCCTCTTAGGCCCCTTCCGCCCCCCCCCTCCTCCGCCGTGCGATGGTCTCTCCCGCCCCTCCGGCGCAGTAGGCCCGCCCCTCACATCAGTCACTCCCTTGCCCGCTGGCGATTGGCCGATCTGCAATGCCTTGCCCGAAGTGGCCAATGGCGGTGCTTTGCCCGCCCCGGAGTCAAGATGGCGCGCCGAGAGCTGCGGACGGGCGGCTCTGAGGCGGCCTGCGGGGGCCGCCGCTCGCTCCGCGCCCCGTCCGCTTCGCGCCCCGCCCGCGCCCGGGGCCGGCCGGCCGGGGGTCGCTCGCTCCCGCGCTCGCTGGCGCCGGCGGCCGGCCGGCCCGCCCCTCCCTCCGCCATGGGGCGGAGAGCGGCCGTCAGTTCTGGAAACGGAGCGCCAAGCTGCCGGGCAGGTGAGCCCGGGGAAGGGGTGCACGGGCCGCAACACCCACCCTCCCAGCTGGGGGATGTCGGGAAGGGGAGCTGGAGCCGTCCCTCTGCCTTGGGAAGGGGCTGTCACCCACGCTGGCTCTGGGATTGAGGGTCCTGCGGTACTTCCCTGCAAAGCTGGAGGGATACCAGGCGTTCCTATCCTGGCTGCAGGGCAGAGGAGCTGGCTGGGGACCTAGGGTTCCCCCCCTCTAACGGGGTAGATGCTAGGGGCACCCCAGGCTATGGGGCAGAGAAAGTTTGACGGAGGAAGGCTTACTGTTTAAGAGACAAGGGTAGGATCAGAACTGCTCACTCATCTGTAGGACAAGGCAGGCTGTGTGGGGGCTGTGGGGACGCCTGTGTGCTTCCTCTGCCCCATGAGAAACAGAATGGAGGGATCAGGGCCTTGAAGGCCCCTTTGGGGTGGCCTCAGAGCCAGGACTGGACCATCTTCCTTTCCACAGCTTCCTTTTTCCGAAGAAAGCTCATCCTTTCCTGAAGTCCTTAGAGGTATCACTTTGAGTGGCAGCAACTCTGTCCTAGAGGGGTGCCCCTGCCAATGCCAGTAACCCCCCCATTATCCTTCCTTACGTAGGATGTTAATTCTTCTACACCTTTACTCAAGATGGAGAACTTAGAGGGGCTCTCTGTTTGCACCTCCCCTCAGTTCCTCTGGCTGTGATGTCCTGGTTCCTGTCGAGGCATGCACGCTCACCCAGGGATGGGAGAAACAAGTGAAATGTCTGATTCGAGTGGTATTTAGGAAGAAGAGGCTGGTGGTGAGGAAGTAGATGCTCCCTATAATGTCTTGGGAGCAAGGCTGCCATGGGGAGAGGGGGTCTGCCTCTCTGTGAAGGCTCTCACAGGTGCTTTTCACATCTGAGGGCTCTTCACATTTGCTCTCGTTTTCCTTATGTGAATCCTGCCCTTCCCCTCCTAGGGTACACACACAATCTAAAACGCTTAGTTGGCTTTAAATCCTGCTAGACCACTTAAATATTTCTAATGTGCTTTCACTCATCTCTCTGTCAGTGTGCTGACTCCTTCAGGTTGGCTGGACAATCCGGGTCTGTGGCAAGTGAAGAGAAAGCAAGGAGCACTCAGCGTTCCTCCTCTGCTCCTCATGGGGGAGGAAAATGCTGTGCTTTCCCTGGGTTATTTTGTCTCCTGATTGCTGCTGTCTCTTATTTGAAGGTCTTGGATGTGCGCTCAGCTGATGGTCTTGGGCACCATCTCTCTTCTGCTTTGGTGACTTTTGAGCTTTGACTTGGAAAGCTCAAACCAGGTGAACCGGTCTGGGAGGCAGCCGGTCCTACCTAGACAATACACTCCATCGTAGAGTTTTTGGCAGTGTTCTCTCCTGCTCCTAACTGCCTACTTGGCAAATATCCGGCTGTGCAGGAGCCGTGTTACCATCCCCAAATACCCTGTGTGCCGGTTATTTCCAGGGACAGTTACCGATAGGTCTTGGGCAACGTGACCACAAAAGGTGGAGGTGGGATGTGCTGCATCCACGGTCGCTAGACAGGAAGCTTCCTTTCTTCTTTTTTGTCTGAGCTTTGAGAGACCTTCTCGTACAGATTCTTGGCTCTCTCCTTTCTTTACCCTGACAATCTGGCAAAAGAAGGCTCTGTAGAGATTTGGACGCTGTGTTAGCTTCCTTTTCCATGACACTTTGTGCATTTGGTCACTCAGTTGTATTAGCTTTCATTTGGTGCTTTTGATCCCTCTGAATTTAGGGTGGTAGAACTGGTAAATATTGTTTTGTCTTTCCAATGCTATCCTATAGTTTTTGCATTGGAAATTCTCTCCCCAGTGATTTCCTGAAGATGCTTTGGCAGGGTGGTCTAATGTGTTGTCATCTGTGATGTGGTGTTTATTTCCTGCTCTTTGGAGAAATGGGCAGCCAGTGTCTGGTTGGGGCTATTTAAATGCTGTTCTAAAAGGGGAGAAACAGTCTGCTAGAAGTAAATATGTTCTGTGTCCAAAGGGGCACTGAAGTTTCATGGATATGCTTTCTGTTGCAGTGTCAATAACCCACACCCTGTGATGATCTCGTGAGCAGTATAACACAGGTAGCACAGCCATTGTACCGTACACCGTTAGTCATCCATTGTACCAGATGCTGAACATTCAGGTAACAAAGAGCCTGTCCCAAAGAACTTAAACTGAGACTGAATGGGGGAGTTCAGTCAGTCTGGGAGCACAGTGTCAGCTTAGATCAGCACAAGATTCTTTGTTTGGGAGTGTCTGGGCTCTGAGTCTTTAAAAAACTGTTTTGGAGGTGGGACCCTCTGCCATTATATCAGCCATTGGCCGATTGCTTCAGAACCCCAGGAAAGAGTTTCCTCACCCAGCACTGGCTGTCACATCCCCTCCTCTCTCTCTAACGTGCATCATTCATTGGTCTCGTGAAGTTCAGGCCTTTGCAGGCAAATCAAAGCAGTTGCCCATTGGCAGCCTGTGGGTCTCAGCGCAGCGAAGAGCAGCGATGTCCTGGCTATCGCGAGACAGTGCGAGTTTGGTACTGGTTATGGGAAAGGCTCTGCTGGCTCCTTTTCTGCAAGGAGCTGCCACAAGTCATTGGGAAACAATGCTGATCTGGAGGGGTTGTTTTTCTTACTCCTGATTATCTGCTTGCTGTGGCCATCCATGGAGGTGCCTCTGCTTAATAGCTGTGCTGACTTCTGGATGCTCATTAGTCATCACACTCTATCCTACCACCCTGTTAGTGGGTAAACACAGCCTTTTCAGCACTTCCAGCCATGAGGGACAGGTGCTGCAGTGGTGAGCCCACTCCTTGCTGGGCTACTCTGCCAGGATCTCTCTATGCTGTGGTTGTTTCCAGTCTCTGCCCTGGATCTCTGCATCTCTTCCGTGCCAGCTGGACCTGTTGCTTCTGCCTCCTCCTCATCATCTGGTTCCCAGCGTGCTTTCCAGCTGTACCAGGCTGCCATCCCTCTCCTACACGGCGGGGCTCTGCTCGTTTTACTGCCAGGCACCATCTGCAGCTCCTAGAAACCAGACCAGCTCTATTGACCCACGAGGAACTTGTTTCTTGTGTACCAGCTCAGAATGGGCCTTTGTCTTTGCCGTGGGTCGCGGGACTTGTTTTTCAGAGATGGTTTTCCAGGGTGAGGTGGCTGTGAATAGTTGCCCAAATGGAGGTAATAACTCAGAATCCCTGTCTCACATCCAGAGTCTGCAAAACCAGCGATTAGCACTTGTCTAGTAGCTCCTCTCTGAGGTGATGTTCCCCATGCAGTGTGTGGAGCCCTCAGGCTCCTGTTCCATTAGCCCCACTCCACAGAATGGGGAGCCAAGGAACTGAGTTGTGGTGACTCATTTCAGGCCACATAGGAAGTAGTTGATTAAGCTGGGATTTGGACCCGAGTCAAACCACATACTGTACCAGACATTCCAATGCCCTAGCGTAGGCTATGATCCTGAGAGCCAGCATGGGGTTCAAACCCTCAAGTGTATTTGTGGAGGATCCCCAGTGTCACTGTCCTTCCCTGTCCCACAGGCCTTGGAAAGGTAAATTCCCAAAACTGGAAGTCCCCTCAATGGAAAAGAGAGTGAACATCAGCAGGGAGACTGAGACACGTGGTCACTTGGAGTGAATCGATGGCGCAGAAAAGAGCAGATCTAAAATCCCAGTTCAGACTGGAAAGGGCCTCAGAGTTTAAACAAGGCTTCTCTTTGCTGCTGCAAAGAACAGATCTGTATCTGAATGTGGGACTTTGGATCTAAGGCTTTTAAGTTAGAAGGTTTTTGAAGTTACTTTTGGTCTTATATTCAGCTCCTGAGAGCAGACAAGAATTGTGACCCCAGCCTAAGATGAGATTATTCGTGGGACCTCTTTTTGTAGTGTCTTGGGTTTGTTTTTTTTTTCTTTCCCCTTCCTGCAGCATTCAACCTGTCTATGGAGCACAGCATCCTCCCCTGGATTCCCAGCTCACCAAAAAGTAAGTGTTTATCTCCTGAAGATGCAGGCCACAAGACTTTGCAGGTTTTTGGCTGTAGTTCTGCAGTAGGTGGAGGTCTCTAGCATCCCTGGCATTGTGATATTGCAGCAAAGAGGGACAACAGTGGGGTGCTGTGCTGTCTCGAGTGCTATGAAAGCTTGCACGGAAAGCTTATTTGCTGTGCCCTTTATGGCCAGAAATCCGTACAGTAACAGCCCCATCAAAGGAGACAGACCTTTTTTTTTTTTTAGCAGCGGTGTCTGATTCTTCTGCTCTTTGGAGCTGGAAGAATTAAGGGAAAGGGAGGTAAAGCTGCCCAGCAGCTACAAGACTGGAGAACCGCAGCACCGTTATTGGCATGAAAAGTCAGAACTGATCTGAACTGGCTCCTTATCCCCATCTCGTGCTGTGTAGTGGTGAAAGTTCCCTGCTTCAGGTGGTGGACTTTGACTCTTGTAGCTTAAAAGTAAATGCAAAGGCTCCTCCTGCGCCTGAGGAAAGAACCAGGCTGATCTGGCTACTGGGAACGATCACAGCTGTATTGGGACTGTCCACGGGAGCAGACCTGCTCTGTCTAACCTCTGACATGCCTCTCTCCAGGTTGCAAGACTTTTTTTTGTACCTGTTTTCTGTAGGGTGGAGGAAGGCAAAGCTGGAGGAATTGTATTTGCCCTTTTGAGCCGGGAAGCCTGGCTTCTCTCCAGATGTCTGCTGCCACTGTGGCCTCCGTGACTGCTGTCAGAGCAGCTCAAGTTCTGCCTCCAGTGGGCAGCCCAGACAGACTTAATATATTCCTTAGGTCTGGGAGGAGGAACAGGGAAATTGGATAAAGGGATTGGCTGATTGGAGCCAGGATGTGGGGAAAGGAGACAAAATGGACTCATGTAACGGCATGGCTCTGATACTATTCCTCTCTGGCTCGCAGCTTTGTCAAGGACCGCTCCAAGGCCGGCGCATTGCCTATGAAAAACAAGAAGGCCTCCAGCTTTCATGAGTTTGCCCGCAGTACCAGCGACGCCTGGGACATCGGTGATGACGAAGATGACTTCTCTTCCTCCTCTTCCTCTTTGCAAACTCTGAACTCTAAAGTGGCCAAGGCCACAGCAGCCCAGGTTTTAGAGAACCACAGCAAGCTGCGGGTTAAACCTGAGCGGGCCCAGTCTACTCTCGGTGACATGCCCACCAACTGCAAGGTCATCAAGTCCAGCAGTGAGGCCCAGCTCTCCAGGACTTCTGGTAAGAGCTGTCTTCAGGGGCAGCCTCCTGCTCTAGTGCTCTCCTACTTGACCACTGAACTCAAGTGCTTATTGCTACTCACAGGGTATGGGCAAGAGGCTGTGACACAGCCTGTAAGCATAACAGAGGCTTTTTCTTCCTTGTAGTATCCTGTACTCCAAGCATTTTTAGTGGCCTAGTCTTAATGTTTCAGTGTCCTCTGCTTCTCAGTATCCTGCTACAGGCATGTCTGTCCAAGAGTATCCCATGTTCTGGGTGCTAAGGGAGTTTGGAGATCTGTTAAGTTCTTGCTTGGGCTTGCTCACTGTCTGCTTCCTTTGTGGCCTAGAGTGTGCTGCTCTTAGTAAAGATCTGGATGAGGTCCTGTTGACACCAGGTCGATACAGCTTGGGCAGGGAATTGGGCAGCATCAGCCCCTGCTCACTCTGCCTTGTCTACCTGTGCAGTGAAAGTAACCCAGAAGGTGGCGCTGGCAGCCCATTGCCTCCTCTCTCTGCACTAGCAATTAGCTTTGTTGCTATTTAGATCAGTGGAGAGCAGAGCAGATCTGATGGTCAGTTCTGGAATTCCCACAGCTGCTTCTGCCTTGTCACCTGTGTCCTGCCATGGTTTCCCATGTGCAGAGGGAAGTCTGATCCGCTTGCAACCGGGTGTCTGGATGCAGGAGGAAGAAAGGGAAGGAGAAATGGGGGGAAGCGATGGAAGAGCTGCAGCAGATGCCTGTGAACCAGCCGATCCATTGGAGTGGGCCAATGACGCTGTTTACTGGTGCTGGGGAAGAGAGGGGCAAAATCTGCAGTGGCAGGTCTCTGAGAGTGGCTAGAAGAGTGAGGAAGGGTTGGAGAGGTGCAATCTCCTTCCAATCACCTCAGTGCAGCATCTGGTCCTTGCAGAGGAGGCCTGTGTGCGGACCCCCCTTCAGAAGCAGCAGTCCCTTCCCCTTCGACCTGTCATTCCACTTGTTGCCCGAATCTCTGACCAAAATGCTTCTGGTGCTCCCCCCATGACTGTGAGGGAGAAAACGCGGCTGGAGAAGTTTCGACAGCTCCTTTCCAGTCACAACACAGACCTGGGTAAGTGTGGGAAAATGAGGGTGCCTCTGGGTGGGAAGGGGAAGGCAGAGGGGGCCTGCTGCCTCTATCAAGTTGTAATTGGCTCTGCTTCAGAGTGGAAAAAATGACTACCTGCAGTTGCACCAAGTGGGATGGTTGCACAAATCACTCTGTTGGCAGATGATAATGTGCCCCAGCCACTTCCTCTGTGTTCCTTATCATTCTCCATCTTGTATATGATGGTTGGGATCACTGGGGGTTGTTGGACTCTGCACAAGAACTGAGGTTCTGGCCCACTGGGGCCCCTGCAGCTACCAGTTCTGTGCCCGAGCTAAGCTGAAATCATCTCTACTCCCCTTGCAGCAGAACCACATGCCCAGTCATTGCTAGTGTGGGAACCTTCCTGGTGGCTCAATGTCTCCAGAGCCTGCAGGAGCAGACTGGGCTTTCCTCTCCTTCTAGGTACAGTGGTGCCTGGACGTGCCTAGGATCTAATCCATTGCCACCACTGTCCGTTTGCAGATGAGCTGAGAAAATGCAGCTGGCCTGGTGTACCTAGAGAGGTCCGGCCTGTGACATGGCGTCTCCTCTCAGTAAGTACTTGGAGCTCTGACACAGGAGTCTGGGGGGATTGTGCTGAGCCAGAGACCTGCTCCTAGACCTTCATGTGTCCCATAACCAGCTTTGCTCGTGTTTTATCTGTGCCCGGTCCACAGGCGAGCTCTAGGGTGTTTTTGATTGGGGAGTGTTATTGCTACATCTTCTTTGAGCTCAAAGCCCAGACTGGTGTGGGGAAATATGCGGTTCACTCTCACGAGGGAAAGTGAATCCAATGAAGTTGGGTTCCTCCAAGATCCATGAAGACGTCAGGCTCAGAAAGCCAAATGCCATGAAAGCTCTTTCCCCAGCTCCTGATTTTGTGTACCTGATATTTCTGGGTGCACAGCTGACTGGTAGGATTTCAAGGGATGGTTTGTGGTCAGGAACAGGGTCTGCCCTGATATGGGTTTTCCCGGTGCAGGGCTATCTTCCTGCAAACTCGGAGCGTCGAAAGCTGACTTTGCAGCGCAAGCGGGAGGAGTACTTTGGCTTCATTCAGCAGTATTACGATTCCCGGAATGAGGAGCACCATCAAGACACCTACCGACAGGTATGAATCCTCTGCCAGCTGTCCATCTTTCTGCCTTGGTTATGTCCCTTTCCTCTCTGTTGCCGCTGCTTGTCCATGTGGTTAGGGTGATGCTAGAACTTTCTCTAGCTGTAGCTCATAGGAGTCCTCTCCTTGGGTAAAAAGCACCATGTTTCTGTCCTTGTTAGTTTAAGCTTTCCCGAAAATGATCTAATAATAAATTTCAGACCCAAACTCTTTCCCAGCTCTGGCCACCTGCCTGCACCTGAGCATAGGAGACTGGAGATAAAACTGTAGATGATTTTCTCGGTACAGCTGTCATCTCTAGCCCTCACTGTGCTTCTCAGCAGGTGCAACTCTCGCTTGGTGGGATGCTGAGGCGCTTTAACCTGTGATGAGTTATTGTGGCCCCAGAAAGCACAGTTGGTGTGTGTAACCCACCCTCTTTTCCAGATCCACATTGACATTCCAAGGACCAATCCACTCATTCCCCTCTTCCAGCAGCCACTCGTCCAGGAGGTAAGGGGAAGTGAAGCTCCTGCTCCACATTTGCCGTGGGGCGTGTGTGTGGAGTTAGACAAGCATTTCTACTAGTGAGTTAGCTTTGTGGGGAAACTTCCCTGGGTCACAGCTCCTGATGCAAGTACCTGCTGAAACCGTCTGGTCTTGTCCCATATTTCTGAAAGACTTGGAGCTCGAGGGTTATGACATCATCTCTTCTGTGGCAAGATGTAGCCAAGAGTTGGTAAAAGACCTGAAGCTTTTGTTTTGAGACAAATTGGAGGCATTTGAACCCGAAGAGGAGATAGTTCTGTTTTACTTTGAAACGTTTTTTGTGCAAAGTGGTATGTGAGCAACCCAGCCGGGGACAGGTTTGAGAGATGGCCAAGAGAGCCCCTGTCCTCTTTGGAAACAAGCCCAGTGTGCACATGCGGTGTGTCAGAGCATGGTGTCCGTGAGGATGGGGCAATTTGGGAATAGCACGTTGGTTGTTGTGGGGGAGACTACTCTTTGGGAACTATCCCAATCTGTGATGTTTTGCTGGGAGTACTGTGCTAATACTTAGCTTTCCACCTGATGTTCAGCAAAGCATGCTGCTCTGATAAGAGGCAGCCCTGTCTTGTGGATATTAAGCAATGTGGTTCTTGAAAAGTTGAGTCTGCTTTTCCTCAGGCAGCGGCTTTGATGAGGAGTCTCGACTGGACTGTCCTGTTCACTGAGAGCGGGCTGGAATATGTGGGGGATCTGTGGATCATACAGAAGTCTCTCCTGGGACTTTTATGCTTTTTACATTACCTGTATTGCTATAGAAAAGCCTGTCAGTGCATGGTCTCCACTACCTGAGCTTAGCAGTTATGCTTTTCTGCCTTTGCTTTGTGCATGGCTAATGCAGGTACATGCTTTCCCTCGTTCTTCCCTAGATTTTTGAAAGAATCCTGTTTATCTGGGCCATTCGACACCCAGCCAGCGGCTATGTACAGGGAATCAATGACCTGGTCACTCCATTCTTTGTTGTGTTCCTCTCTGAGCATGTTGGTAAGTTACATTTGCTGCTTGAAGCACTCTTGACGATGGTGTTTGAAATGGTGTGAAATGCTGGCATGAGGAGGACTTGTCTTGCAGGAGGAGGGGGTGATGTGTTCTTCCTTCAGAGTGCCTGTGCCAGGTTGGAGATGCATCTTGACCTCTTACTGTATCTCTACTTCCTGGTTGAATTGGCTTCAGTTTGATAATCTTGCTGAGCCCCACAGAAGTTAAAGTGCTAAAAGTGGGTTTGCATTTGAATGTGCTTAACAACATTACAGTTTGGAGGAGAATGGGGTCTTTTAGGCACTGAGGGAGTTTAGGCAAAGCCCTGGTATACAGAGTTGCAGGAGGGTCTTGCTCTCAAAGCTTGGACTTGGAGACAGTTCTTGCTCTAGGAGGAATGAGTGAAGTATAAAGAGACCCTGCTGAGAATGTAAAATAAGCTATTTAAGTAAGGATTCCTGTCCCTTGCTGCTAGTACAGGTGTGTTTCTCAAGCTGAGAGATTCAGAAAGCGAACTGACTTCTTCCTGCTGCTTTTGGATTTCTTGTCAGCCTGTGGCTTTTAGATGGAGATCAAGTCCTCTCCACCCATAGCGTTTTTGTTCTTTCTCCATCTCTAGCTGTGTTTTGGAGTTGATGTTAATGCTGGGATGTCGTAATCCCTATGTTCAAAGGCTCTTAGTTTTCACTGTAAATAGAAGGAAACAGGAATGTATAGGACTGTATGACTAATACAGTCATACATTCATAGAGTCATACATTCTGTCCCATTGTATGACTGTCCTATACAATGGGACAGAAATCCCATTGAACAAATATTTTTAAGGTTTGATCCAAAACATGTTGAAGTTGGTGAAAGCCTTCCACTATCAAGCTAAGGCTTTGTAAACTAGTACTGATCTGCCTCTTCTGAGGATATTGTGAAGAGGTAAGCCACCTTACTTTCCACTGTGACAGTCAGTGTGCTCAGGACCGATCCTTAGGAAATGCTGTTGCTCCTTGCAGCCTGAAGGAGAAGGCACAAAATGCTACCAGCTGGAGTGAATTCCCTTTTGTGGGAGGTCAAGAGCATTTCAGGTCTGAACGGGTTCTCTTTGAGTGGCCTCTCCTGTGCCTTATTGCTTGAGCAGCATCGATGGCACATAGTCCTCATGGAGGCTCAGGATTGATTTATTGGGTTAGCAGTAGAGCTGTGCACAGTGAGTTACCTATGTAAGAAGGGAACTGGTCTGAAGCATCAGAGCTGCCTGTGGGTACCTGGTGTGACTTCTTGCATTCCTGTTCCATGTTGATTGTCATGGCTTAACTCTCTCTGCATGTGGCATCAGAGTTCATGCTGCGTTGGCCCTGTCCATCACTTTGCTGGGGTCATGCTTCTCACCATCTTCCAAGGCTGTTTTCACCCCTGATTGAAGCTTGCTCTGTGGATGTGACCTTCCTTTTTCCAGCTATCTCTGAAACTTGTGTTGGAGAAAATCCTCTGCGTGAGACCCGTTGAATAGAATTTGGCCAAGCAACATCATGCATCACCCTTATGTCCCCAGAGCCTGCGATTTAAAAACCAGCCTTTTGGTCACAAACTGTCTTGGTGGCTGCCTGCTCCCTAGCCCTCACTCCAGAAGGAATGACAAAAACGACAGTGCTGTGGGATCCCTCCCACAGTTCCCTGGGGAGCTGGGCTGGGTTCAGGTCATGGCTGACAAGTCTTTTGGGATTCTTAGCCTTTCACCTGAGTTGGAGAAGTAGGTCAGTGCATGGGTACTGCGATCAGTGCCAAGCACACCTCTCGCATGCACAGAGTGTTGTAGTCCTCTTGCAATGCTTTGGCTTGATAAAGCCCCTCTGTTTGTCCCACGCGCTGCCTGGTGTCCCCCATCTTCCTGATGCTCTTCGCTCTCTGTTTTGCAGAGGAGGATGTGGAAAACTTTGATGTGACAAACCTGTCGCAGGATGTTTTGCGGAGCATCGAAGCTGATAGCTTTTGGTGCATGAGCAAGCTGCTGGATGGGATACAGGTGAGCCTCTGGGACCATGGAGATTTCTCTTCCCTTGCTGGGGTAGCAGTGTGGTTGTCTTCTCTCCCTGTCTGGGTGAGTGTTCTGCACGTTCTGGCATTAGGGAGATTTTGCTACTTCACTGAGCTAAATCCATTAGTAAAATCCTGGGGAGATGGATGCTGATGGCACTGTCCTGACTAGGGACTTCACAGTAGGCAGGTGATCCTGGTGCTCAAGAGCCATGTCTCCTTGGATCATGACAGTCTCATCTCCCTGTCGAACTGGTGGTGATCTGGTTCTGATCGTTTCTAGCTGTTGTTAAAGCTGCTGCTTCTGACTTGTGGCCTCTCCCCACAGGACAACTACACCTTTGCACAGCCAGGGATCCAGAAGAAAGTCAAAGCTCTAGAGGAGCTAGTCAGCCGGATCGATGGTAGGTGACAGGGGAACCTGATCATGTTGGCTCTTTTGTCATAACAGCAGGAGGCCTTCTTTTTAAGTAGTACTCTCTTTGTAAGTAGGGCAGGGGTAGACACTTGCTTACAACATGTATGGAAGCATGGTAGGGTGGGGTCAACCAGAAACTTCCTGGTGACAGGATTTGCTGGCTGGGTAGCACAGGGTGAGGAGTGGAGGAGTTTGGGAGAAAAAGGTCTCAGCCTGGAAGTGGGTGAAAACCAGTGTGTTCGGAGCAGTGTGCAGGAACTGGGGCACTGTGGTCCCCAGGTGTGTAAGTGAAATGTGCTGTTTCAGAGCAGGTACATAATCACTTTAGGAAGTACGAGGTCGAATACCTGCAGTTTGCCTTTCGCTGGATGAACAACCTTCTTATGAGGGAGCTGCCTCTTCGCTGTACCATCCGCCTCTGGGATACCTACCAGGTACACAGGTTTCCACTGACTTTCCTGCTGGGCATGTCACTGTGGGGCCAATTCCCTGTACATGAGAGGACAGAGGTCTTCTGGCACCAGCTGGGGAGATGAGGGAAACAAAGCAGTGTGGCCCCAGGACATTTATAGTGAGTTGGGTGATGGGTGACCCAGTAGGACATTATCCAGGGAAGTCATTCTCCAGATGATGCTGGAGGAGCTGACCCAGAGTTTTGCTCTCCACAGTCGGAACCAGAAGGATTCTCACATTTCCACCTGTATGTCTGCGCTGCCTTCTTGATCAAGTGGCGGAAGGAGATCCTAGATGAGGAAGACTTCCATGTAAGACACTGAGGTTGAGGATAATTTCATGGGGGTAAAGGAGAGGGAAATGCTCTAATTGGGAGCCCAATGTGGACAGTCAGCTGTCATCTCAGAGCTGACTCCAAGATCATCTGGTCTCAGGAGCTTTCCTTAAAAGTAACTTTTGAGCCTCAGTGGTAAGGACAGAGAACTGAGCTGTTGGACAGTTCAAACATCACATACCAGCTCTTCCCCGCACCTGAGCTCTGATCACATGAAGTGATTGCCTTCCTGTGTCCAGCTGTAAGCCTATAATAGCACCCTTTACCTGAAGGGGCTTGGAGGCATCTGAGGTGCTTCAGTGATTCAAATCTAGACACAAGCACGTCTTAATGCTGTCTCTGAGCCTTTCAGACCTATGAGTGTGGTGACCAGAGCTGCTCCCTCTGGTCGTTCCGCCCCCAAGCCTGCTCTGGATCTGCACTCTGCCTTCAACCTCTCCAAACTAAGCATCTTCCCTTCTTTCAGGGCCTTCTGATGTTGTTACAAAACCTGCCCACAATACACTGGGGTAATGAAGAAATTGGACTCCTGCTCGCTGAAGCCTACAGACTCAAGTACATGTTTGCAGATGCCCCCAATCATTACCGCCGATAGGTGCCCAGACTTGACTCACTCCTCTCTCCCATGCCCGCTCCGTCGTCCTGGCCCGATCTGATCACTGTGGCATTTTTGTCATCCCAAGTCCTTGGACACTCCAGCTGGGAGCTGATCCTTGCTGTACAGAGCTCACATCAACTCTTAACTCTTAACGTGTGCCTGTCTGCCACTCCATGCGCCTGGATGTGCCATTTTGATGACTGTCAGTATTTTACACCGTGCTGGAGGCTCAAGCCAGGAAGGGAGGCCTTAAGGGGCTGGAGGAGACCATGGAGGGAAGGTTTACAGATAAACCGGAGCTGAAGATGCAGCCTTTCTGTCCTCTCCACTCCCTGTCCTGGGCTTGTCTGCCTCACGTTAACCTGCACCACGTGCGCTACCCCATCTGCTCCTTTCTCTCTTCTGACACTGTTTGCGCCATCTCCCAGACGAAAATGCCTTATCAGAGACCTGCCTGGCCGGAAAATCCTTCCCCACGAGGGTGGCAGGGCAAGAAGTTTCTCTCAGGGCCTACCTTCGCTCCGAGGGTCCAGAGACCCCAAGCACTTTGTGGGTTCACAAGAGAGTCCCTCATGCCTGCCCTCTCTCCTTCTCTCCATCCTCTTCACCTACCTCTCCCCCAGGGCAGCAGGGCAGGCATGACAGGGGCGATGAGCACTCCATCCACATACAGTTCGAATTATGCGTGCCAGCTTGATGGAACTTTTGGTGACTGATGTTCTGTGAGTACAGCCCCCTCCAGTGTGTGGGGGAGGTGCAGGGCGGGGCTGGTAGGGGAGCAATATCTCCCAAAAGCCCCCACTCCTCCGGGGTGTTCTGTGTATATTGTGTTCTTGTGTATATGGGTCAAAGATGTACAATATATGTCTTCTCTTTGTAGCAGATTTTATATTTATAATGTGCACCCCTTGTTCTCCCCATCCTCTCCATGCCCGAGAAGGATGCCTGACTGTGGTGTCACAGGGCTTTTGGACCACTCTGGAGGTGGGGGGGTGTTTCAGACCTGCAGGTAATGTCTGTCCCAGTATGTGCTTGCAGTGTTGGGTCTGCCAGGAAGAGGTGCCATAGAAATACAGATCTCAAGGCATCCCCTATAGACAGAATTTGGGTGGTTAGAGGAGATGGGAGCTCCCAGCAGGAAGCAGGGCAGAGCTGTGTCCAAGAAACAGGGTATCCAGGCTCATCAGCTGCTGGCAAGTGCCTCTCTGAGCACTGCAGGGTGGAGACCTGCCAGTGCTGGCTGGCAGGACTCTACAGGGAGGAATAATCCTGGATCCAGCACTGGCTGTCCCTGACGCTGTCCAACTCTGTGGACACAGCCTCCCAGGAATGGCAAAAGGATCTGGCTGGCCTTTCTGCATCTGCTTTTAAATCAGGCAGGCTGGGAATGTTTTAATGCACCATTTTCTTCCCATGGGCAGAAACCATCTGCCACGTGTGAAAGGCTGGAGTCAGGAGGGCGTGAGGGTAGGAGGGCATTAGGCAGGAGGCCCAATCTGGGCCACCTTGGGTTTCTCCCAGCACTCCTGCTGCGCCATGAGGGCTGTCTTGGTGCGGAGGCTCTTGGTCCCTCTACTTTCCATTTCTGTTCCCAGTGGAGAAAAAGCAGGGGGCAGCGAGGCAGGGGCCCAGCATGTGACAGGCACAACCTTGTTGCCAATAAAACTCCAAACAGTATCTCAAGAAATCACTTTCCTAACCTGGAGTTGTTTCTCTCAGGCATTTGTCTGTGTGTACCTTTTGTTGTTTTCTCTGAGAAACAGACCCGGTGGTCCTTAGTTGAACATGAATTAAAAAACAAAAGAAAAAAACCAAACGAACCAAAAAAAACCCCACCAACACCCAACCCAACAGCAAAAACATCAACACAACTCCAACCATCAACTGAGCTGTGTGGGTCAGGCAAGTGTTTGCAGTGCACCACTGCCTGGAGGAACATGAGCCTGTGCAGGGAAGGAAAAGTGCATCTCAGGGAAGAGAGACAATGCAAGAGCCATGCTGAGATGAGAAACTCTCCCCAGGCACGTGACAGGTATCAACCCAGCTGCAGGGTCTGTCCTGCTGCCTCCACATCCCATCTGCTGGCAAGTCCCACCGTCCCTGGTCCAGCATCACCAAGAGATGTGATTCAAGCCCCAGATTGCCAATTCCCATCTCTTCGGGGCTCTCAGCCAGCTTCCCCATCAGCACGCTGCCGTGCAGGGCTCAAGGTGGGATCGCACCCTGCAGCATCTAGCCCTGTCACCTCATCCCCAGGAGATGGTCAAGGACAAGAAACCCCTTCGTGTTTCACTTCCCCACTGCTCTTCGCAGGCCTTCCGCCTGCATCTGGGACAACTGAGATGATTAAAAGCCATCACAGTAAGTTCTAGATTTCAGGACAACACTAGCAAGGAAGAACACTTCTTGAGGGTAGCGTTTTGGTTTTTTTCATACATTAGAACATTTATTTCTCAGAGAGAAAATATAGTCTCAGACAGTCAGATTATAGAAGGTAAAATTAGGTTTTTCTTTTCTTTACAAGCATAGATTTTCTTATTACCCTTCTTATACCATCTGATATAAACAATTCTAGAAATCAAATAAACTCACTTTCTACAATAAATAGAGCAATCTGTGCTTTACAGCAGACTGACAGTAACATTTAGGTTCCGTAGCAACAGCAGGACATTAGCCAATTCAAATTCTAAAATGTAATTTAAAAAAAAAAAACAAACAAAAAACAAAACAAAACAAAAAATCAAACCAAACCAAACAAACACAAAAAAAACCACCTCCCAAGACCTTAAAGCATATACACAGGTCACAAGTCCACAGCTGAGCTACCACCTAGAAAAGTGTATGTTCCTTTAAATAAATTACACTGTGTGCATATAAAAGACCCAGCAACACAACTGAGGACTTCAAGAATAGTGACAATAGGTCTGAATAATTTAGAACATTTTACAACTATATACACAACATCCTTCCCTAGCCACACTCCATAGGTGTTATTATCACTATAAGTATTTTTACAAACCTATGTCCTACCTCTATATGTTGCAGGAATCTTAAAATTCCTTCAAATGTGGTTCCATGCCCCAGTGTATAAGAAGTGGCATTTTAAAAAAGTAGACCAAATAGAAATGGCAGTGATTACTCCCCACTATTCATTATCATTCTCTTTAGTATGAAAAGGTTAAAAATAATTTAAAAATATTGAGTTAAAAAGCAAAGTGATATTCAATCTACAATCTTACTTTGCACCTTTGGTTCTTGAAAATGGGAAAGCAAAAAGAGATAAGCAACAGAACAGATCAGAGAAATCATAAAGTCCTTGGCTAACAGAAAAGATTTTGCCATCAAGTTTCCAGACATCAGTTTGTCCCTGTGTTTTGCAATGCAAACACAAAACAACAGGGATTGTCTGCAGAGCTGGGTTTACTTGGCTTTGGATGAATGACAACGCTGGAGACCCACACACCAAGGAAAGGATATGTCTGCATGGGAGAAGGGGAAATGGCAAAATGGTTGTGTGCTTTCGTTAGCACTTGGTTTCAACCCGAACTGCATCAGAAGAAAACATTAAAGAGACAGAAAAGAGAGAAGAAAGGAAGAGGAGCCTTACACCAAATGTGCATAAACCAACACAAAAGATGTATCTCCCTCCAACCCTGATCAACCTCAGTACCTGCAGAGCTGCTTCAACTCTACTTAGACACCTTCAAAATTACTTTTACTTCTTAAAAAAAAGGAAGTTATCCTTGCTTAGATTCTGTACTGCACAGTCATGATATAAAATGTAACAGCAGATTCACAGATACAAAATAAATTTCTAGGACATACATATACACACAGATCAGGTAATCTGCTTTTCATCTTTAAAGCTCTGTGCATCTGTGCATGTAACTGTGTGCAGCAAGGGGGGGAAAGGTCATCAATATATCTCAAGCTTTTCTAAAGGCAATGAGAGAAATCTAAACATGAAAACACTATGTACATAGGCAGGAAAATCATAATGTGAACTCCCAGCTATGATTTTGTGGGGTTTTTTATATGATAGGACAATATCATTTAAAGAAAAATGAAAAGGCCAATGATGGTTTGGGTAAATTTGGCACAAGAAAGTCAAGTTGGGATTTCCGTAAAGGATCCTGGTTCTGTTACAGTGGTGGCAGGTTCCCAGGAACTACTCCAGGCTAGCTGACGACTTACAAACCCTGGCAGCACAGGGGAGGCAGGGGCAAGGGAGGGTGCATGAGGTCCAAACATCCAAGTGCTGCACTCTGCTCACTGCATCAACTCACCTTGGCTCCTATCACCCGTCAGCTTTTGCTAACTACCTTACTCCCAGCCCTGCAGACTACACATTTCCATCTCTTGCCAGCTCTTCAGCAGACACATTCAGAAAGAAGCTGGACAAGTTTTTTTTGGCACATTTCAGGGTACTTTGAGGACTGCTGAAAGCTGCCGGGAACGGTGTTCCCCTGCCAGTCAGTGCATGAGATGGTCCACTCTGCCAATGCAGTGAGCACGAGGTCTGGGGGGAAAACGAGGTCCAGTCACCCCAATCCTTTACAGGTAACTGGATGTAATGAAGGGATGGTCTCCATGCACTCGGCTCATGTGGATCATGGCTCGGTCATATGCCACCTGCACAGACTTGCGGATGCTGGTTTTTCGTCCTTCCATCATCTTTAACTTGTCCACTGTGTCATCAACACCAAGGGGATAGACTTTGTCACGTGGAAGCCACTGCCTGCAGTAGAGAGTGCAAAGACCTGTCACCAAGGGTATCGAGAGGGAAAATGGGGAAAGAAGAGCAAACACCTGGAGGCCTCTCACCCTTGCAATATCTGAGCAATCAGCAGGGGTGCGACTGCTTCACTGTACCTGGCTCATTCCTACTGCATGGCTGCTACAGGCCAAGGACATTCTCCCATGAGTTTCCAGGACATGGCCAAGTACTCCAGCTCCTCAAGCTTTCCCCACATATCTCAGCAGCCATTAGTCACTGGCTGTTATCGCCTCTCCAGGAGCAGTTACACTTATGTAATATATTTGTTTATCATTAACACCCACAATGATGCTACAAATGTTTAAATGCCTGCATTTGACATAGAAGAACCACCTGTAGCCAAAATGCCTTCCAAGCACAGTCTTCTCTCTCCTTGGAGTCCTTACTCAAGGCTTTCAATGCTCCTTGGAGCTACAGGGGAAACTTGGAAATCCCTGTACCACAGAGCAGAAAATAATACAGGGGCTTCCATGGTGGAAAGTAAGTTTTTATCCCCAAGCAAGTTCTGTCTTGTTCCAAGAAGCTGTAAGCATTAGAGGTTAGGTGGGTACAACTATCTGAGTATCACCCAAAACCAGGCAACTTCCAGTTGACATGTCCAAAGCCCAGGCTAACCCCAATGGATGACTTAAATTGCAAATGCCTTGTCTGTAGCAGGTTTTTATTTCATCCAGATTAACCAGTACACTGAGAAACATGCCACCTATCTCTCTTAATGAAGTTCAGCCCCTAGGAACTCAACCTCAGCCACTGCTAGCGCAGTTCAAAGCATTTCCCAGCCAGCCAACATGGGCGATGAAGGGCAGCTCAGCTTATCTTCACCACAAAGATGAGGGACAATTTCAGTGTTTGTGACCCTTCTGCAACATCATTGAAGTCAGTAGAAATTTAGGACTTTCCTGAGGTGCCTTATCTTCCCACAAACTACAAACAAGGCTCTAAGGGGCCACTTAAGAGTGTAAACATACAGCAGAGCTTGTATTCAACAAGAGCAGGGCAAAACCAAGGAAATGCTTATTTTTGTTGGAAAGGCAGTTTCAATTACAAGCTTGGATTTAGGTTTTTCAAAATGATGACTACAGCATGGCACTGCCATTGATTTTCTGCTAAAAATCATTAGTACCTCTTTGAGGAACATGCTCCGTATCAACTAGTTCTGGTAATCAGGAACAGTGAAACAATGCAGTGTTCTAATAAAAAGCCTCAGGAGTTTGTCTCTTGACACCTCTTTTCCCCAGAGAACACAGAAATACTTCTCAACTTCCCAAGCAGATGGCATATACTTTCCCTTTGCCTGCATTGCACCTTGTCTCCATCTCTTTAGATTGCATAAAACACTGCTGCAGCCCCAAAATGTAAGGGGAAACCCTCTCCCTTGCTGCTTTACCCCACTATGTGTTTGGCTCTGCTCTATTCCCAATAGTGTATCTTCCCTCCAGCCCTGACACCACCTTTGGGCAATGTTCACCTCCTTCCTCCAGCCTCTGGCCCTTCCCTGATCTCATGCTTCACTACTCTTCCAGGAATGCCAGCAAAAACCTTCCTCAGGAGACTAAGGAGAAGGGCTCTTGAAACAAGGCTTCTTTTTAAATTCCTGATACATTATTTTATAAAAGCAGGAGAAGGAAAGGTAAGCCCATCTATCTTCTGTTCCCACAGCATCCCAACAGTCCAGCATCTGCTCTATCTGCAGTATAAGCTCTCTGAATCTGTGATCCCAGCTGCACACTCCTGTGTGTGACAGCGTATTTGCGTGGTTCATGTTCCCATGTGGTAAATTCAGTGGGCTCAGCATGTGGCTGTCACCTCTTCCTCTTCCAGTATAATTCTCCAATTTTACAAGTTTCCCATTGTTTCATGCACAGATTTCAGAGTCCTTTTAGTATTTTTAAGGCACTTCACTTGTTTATGACTTATTACATCTGGGTGGTTTATTGTTACCATGTGAGCATGGTTGGCAATTAATGCTAAAATCAGCAGATTCAGTCTGTCTGAAGCAGAACAACAAAGGCCTTGAGATATTTCACATGCTTTGAACCTACATGCTTACACCTACATTTTCCATCCTAAACAAAGGTCTTGATTTGAAAACTGCAGGTACTTAGCACCTCTGAAAAATCAGCCAAGTCTAAATATGAAATAAACTCAGCATTTTAAAAATGTTACCCTGGAAATTTCTGGCAAATCTTTTGTGCAGCATTGGAACAGGCTGCTTAGTCTGCTAGTGTTTTAAAGTCAAGTGCTCTCTGTAATTCGCTGCAAATTAACTCTCAGTGTGCCTCAGTATTTTCTTGGTGATGTGACCCTTGAG